AAAACTACAGATGAGAAATCTGGCAGGCTCACGATAATGGGGTGATCAAGGCCAACATCACTAGTGACTATAGATACTTATTTTTTAAAAACATTTTATTCATCATCATCATTATTATTTTAATTTGACCAGAGAGAGAGAGAAAGTGAGAAAGCAAGCCACCAGGTCCAGGACTCGAACCACGGTTGGCCATGTGGGAGTCCAGTGCACTTAACCACCATCCACTTGTTAGCTCCTAAAAGACATTCTTATCAAGTGTTCCTCATTATGAGAAGGTTGCAAAATCACATCTGTGATTACATAAATGAAAGTTCTTTCTGTGAAGTCGTAAATTCAGGTCTCTGGACCCCAGATTTAGTGCACTTTTCCTAACATCAAAAACTTTTGACTTGGGACGAACAGATGGTATAGTGGTTACATCACTGGGCTCCCACATGGCTGACTGTGGTTTGAGTCCTGGACCCAGCAGCTTGAAACTCACGCTGGGTTCGTGTGCATGCGTTCCCAAAATCCCTAGAGGAGAATGGAGAAGAAGGGATTTCGGTATGGCCATCCTGGGGGGGAAGGGGAGAGGGGATTTCTTGCTATCTGTCTAAAAAAATAACATTTTATTTTGCAGTTTGTCCCTCGCTCTTCTCCATTTAACTACCAAATCAAGGCAAATATTTTTCTTTCCTTTTCTTTTTCTTTTTATTGTCAGAAGACACATACTCTTGCCAGAGAGAGAGCGAGAGATGGAAAGCGCCCCCTCAACAGGGCATGGTCATACCCCAATCTTTTTTCTCCACTTCTTCGTACTCTTTAAAGTTTATTTCATGATTAAGAGAAACAGAGAGAGATAGCATCCCAGAGGAGTTGTGATGCCACAAGTCACCCCCCAACCCACCCCCAACTCTGCTTCAGACAGCCCCTGACATGAGTATATGCATACCTGTTGTATTCAGGGAGGTCTCTGCATGCAAGCTTGGAAACTGCCCAGTGGAGTCAGTCTTGCAGAGCATCGTGTTTTACTGCTGCAGCACTGTCTGGTCCCCCGAAACGAAATATTCTTCTATACTTGCAATCTGCAATGATAGTCCTTTCTCTTCTCACTGCCTTCTAGATAACTGGTTCTCAAGCTTTGTTCACACTGAAATCACCTGGGAAGCTTTAGTAACTACTGATGCTTGCCTCCCACACCCAGAAAGTCTGATTAATTGGTCTAGGGTATGGCCTGGGCTTTAAGAGTTTTAAAAGTATCTCAGGTAATTAGAATGTGTAGCCAAGTTTGAGAACCATTGCACTACACTAATAATTGTTGAAAGAGAGAATGAGCACAATCTAACGAGAGATGTTCTGAAGATTTGAATGTTAGGAAAGAGACTGGTGAAAGATTTGGGAACTATCAACATATTGACAGTAACTGGAGCCAGAGGAGTGGACATTGCCTTAGGACAGTATGCCAAGTTGCAAGAGAAGAGATACAAATAAATTTTGAGATAACAAAGAGTTTGGTTACAAAAGTTGAAGGGATTTATGCCAAAGTTGTAGACCAGAGATGTGCAGCCCAGTCCTAGTTCTACCAACACTTAGCCTTACTGCTCTCCTGGATGTCCCCAAGGCTTCCATTCTGACCACTTTATAGTCACTACCATACTGTAAGAGGGGACTTCACAAAGTTCATGGAAAGGGGGTCAGCACGTGGTGTGGTGGTTAAGGTGGTTGACATTCCCACATGGCTTACCATGATTTGAGTCCCAGACCTTGTAGCTTACTTTCTTACTTACCCTCTCTCTCTCTCTCCCTGTTTCTGTCTCTCTCTGCTCAAATTAAAATACACGAATGAATAAATAGTTATTTTTTTTAAAGTTCATGGAAAATGGAATTAATGTATGAATTGATTTTGGTGCCAGAAATATTTTTTGAAATCCATAGATATTTTTTTCATACTTTTTTTTTGGCCAGAGGACACGTGCTCACTGGAGAGACAGAGAGAAAAAAGAGAGAAAGTGAAAAAGCATCCTCCCCTTTTTCCTCCGTTGGAGATGGTCACACTGCAATCCCTTGTCCCCCATGTCTCCCTCCTTTGGGGATTTCAGGCACCATGTACACACCCAGTGTGTTTTATGAGCCATGTGGTCCCAGGACTCAAACCATGAGTAGGCTATTTGGAATCCAGCCACCTTAACCATCCCACTATGGGCTGGCCCATACTATGCAATTTCCATAAACTTTTTGAAAGCCTGCTGTACCTCTGTTATATCCACTCCTATACTTGGCATAGGGCTAAACACAGGGTTAGTAATTCTCATTCACTGAAGGATTATAAAAACAACTGTCTACCTCACTAATAAGCATAGGGTTCTTGGAAGAAAACTTGTTTGCCAACTGTTTCCTCCTCATTGTGATGGGAAAATTTCTCCCGAGAGTTTTTCTCTGTTGACCATTTTCCACAAGACACTATCTGCCAGCCTTTGTTTGGAGAGCTTTTCCTCTACAACTCTTTTGCTTTTCCAGCTCTTCATGACTGTGTCCTGTAAATTCGTAGAAAAACTGTTGGCCAGTGGTCAGCAACTGGACCTTTGAAAAACAGAATCATCACCCCTGCCCCACTCCTCCTGGCCCCACCCCTGGGCCTTAATGGGAGAAAGGAATAACTGTGTCACTCCTGGCTTCCACTTGCTCATCTCGCTTTTAAATTGGAGGCCTCTGGGGCTGAAAGAAATTGGACAAAGTGTGCCGAGTAGCCTAATAGGGCTGGTTCTTTTTTTCTGAAAGTTCCCTATTGCGGAAAAATAAAATTATGTGTTTAATTTCTGAAACCTGATGCCTGATTTGCCTTGGCGGCCATTCTTCCTGGCTTGGCTGAGGCTCCAGCAACACTAGTATTCTGATTAATACCAGTTCAGCTTGCTCCCTAGAGAAGAAGAGCATTATTTACTTGATGATTTTCTTAAATCCTTTTTAATTTTCTTGCATTTTAGCATAATCTCCTTGGTTTGCACATGCTGTATCTCTGACCACTGGCCCCAGTGAAGGCTTAGGGAAGATGGCCTGCTCAGGGCACTCACATCCTCATCACAGCAAGTTTGTTCGTTCGACCCGCTGATTAGGAGTGAGGCATCACGTGTTCTAGTCCTTCTGGGACCGCCAAGTTCTACGTGTTCTTTCATTGCTGCCTGGTCCTCAGGACCCTGGTAGAAAGAGAAGGGGAGGATGCTTCCCAGAATTCAAATTGAGCTTTCTACACTATTCCTTTTTCTCTTCTGACCTGGGCCTCCTTTAAAAGGTAACCCCCTTGGCTCATTCTGCCCCTCCTTTGTAAAGCCCACAGGAATATCAAATAGCAATGCTCTGAGGGGACACAGAGGACTGAGGAAAGGTTGGGCTCCAGACGGTCCCTGACAGGGAAGTGTAAACACAGCTGTGGGGATGGGAGTGAACCACCCTCCCTCCCCACAGTTCCCACCCAGAAGCAGGGAAAGGCCTCCCTGTGGTGAGGAAATAAACAAGAAAACAAAGCAAAGCACAACCTAAAAGCCTGCACGAAGGTCGCTAGAAACTGGGGCTGCTGCCCAGGCCTTGGTGGGGCAGCTGAAGTGCCAGACCCCTCCCTGAACACTTAGAGGCAAAGGCAGCTCCAAAGCAAGTTGAGGTCTGGACTTGACGGAGCCTGGAAACATGGCTTGATTTTTGAAGTGTCTTTGCTGCTGGACACTCTGTCCTCTGATCTCAGAAACTCAGCTCTCTGCCTTAGGTACTTAGCTTCTGACCCCTAGTTGCTTAGGGATCATAATAATGCATTCGATTCAGCAAGTAAGAACAGGCCCACAATAAACCCTTGTTCATGAATATTGTAAGTTTAAAATCTGAGCCACTGAGCCAAAATATCAGAAAGGACTCCCTTAGCCTTTGTTAATTACATAATAAATACTTTCAGCAGGAGGAAGGAATTTTCTCCTTTGGGGATTACTTTGGTGGGACTTGCCTTGATTCGCACATGCTCCAGAAACTCTAGCCACTCTGTGAGGGTGGTGCTGCCCGTTCTGCTCTCTGGGCAGAGTTAATGCAGGTCCTTGATCCCTCAGGACACACCTTTGGCACAGCCCTGCCTGGGAAGTAGCTCTGGTCGGGTTGCTAGCTAATGAGCTGTGCTTCCTTTCTGGCCCTCAGGCTCCTCAACTGTAAAAACAAAATGGCAGAGGGGCCAACAGGCAGCATAGTGGTTAAGAGACTGGACTCCCACGTGGTCAGCCACGGCTGGAGTCCCGGACCTGGTGGCCTGAAAATCCCTCCAGGAACGTGCCCAAAATCCCAGGAGGATAATGGACAAGAAGACATTGCGGCATGGCCATCCCCCTGGGGGATGACTTCTAACTTTCCCTCTCTCACTGTCTGTCTCTCCCCTCCAGCTAGCAAATGCACCCTATGCTAAAAACCTTTTAAAAATTAAATAAAATGACAGAAAAAAATGACAGTGGCTTCAAATACTGAACACTCCTGATGTGTCTGTCATAGTCATAAGTACTTTACATGAATCATCTCATTTCATATGACACCAAAGATATTCTTTTAAAAAAATATTATTCATGTTTATTATTATCATTATTATTTGTTTTTTTATTTTATTTATTATTTTTTATTTCCTATAGGACACATGCACCCACTAGAGAGATACAGAAAGGGAGAGGGAACGTGAGAAAGCAAGCCACCAGGTCCAGGACTCGAACTGTGATTGGCCATGTGAGAGTCCAGCACCTTAATCACCACACCACCTCTTGGTCCTTCAAGGCTATTCTTTTTTTATTTTTAAAGAATTATTTCATTTTATTTTATTTTATTTATTCATTCATTTATTTTAATTTGACCAGAGAGATATACAGAGAGAGAGGGAAAGTGAGAAAGCAAGCTGTCAGGTCTGGGACTTGAACTGTGATCAGTCATGTGGGAGTGTCCAGCGCCTTAACCATCACGCCACCTGCTGGTCCCCCTTCAAGTCTATTCTTCTACCTATTTTACAGATGAGAAAAGTGGGGCTTGGAGAGATTTCACTTGTCCCAGGTCATCTAGCTGGTAAGTTGTATGGTCAGTATTTGGGCCCAATCATTCTTTTTTTTCTTTTTCAGTTTTTGCCTATATTCATGATAGAGCATGTGTGTGTATGAATGAGTGACAGAGAGGGAGAGGGAGAGAGAATGAGCACCGTCCTCGTGGTCTAGTTATAGTCACCCCTTGTCCTGTAGTCCTCCAGCCTGTCAGATCTTGGGCACTTGTGCACATACCCATTGTGTGCTGGACTGGGATGTGAAGTGCGGTCACCATGTGGTATCCAGCTTTTCGTCAACAGGTATCACCACTATGCCATAGAGCCACGCCCCCTTTCCTTCCAAAGTTTATTTATTTCTTCATGAGAGAGAGGCACCCTAACAGGGTCGTTATACCTCAATCCACCCCAGGCTTGTCCAGTTCGAATCATGGGCACTTGTGTGAATGTACAGGGAGGCCCAGGACATGAAATGAGGGCCTTTCCACATGGATCTAGTTGTGTTACTGCTGCACCACCCATGGGCCTGCTTATTCTGACCACTCCCACCTCCGGCCCATGCTCTGAACCATTCCACTATATCTCTCCCTTCTCTGAGGTCTTCTAGCTGTGACATCATGAATCTGGATCCTCTCCATGGCTTTCTACTCTCACCAGTGGCGCCAGAAAGAGAATGTGTTTGGGACTCTAGTCTGCAACTCCAGAGGAAAACAGCTCCTAAAAGTGAAGGAGCTCCTTGCTTCCTCGGTACTTGAGATGAGAATCAAACCTGGGCACTCCGACAGACCCCCATATCAGCAGGGAACAGCCTGTGTGGAAGACAAACAAATCCTAGCCAGACAGGAAAGGGGAGTTCCCCTTGGTTCTGTCACTTCCCCTTCTCTCTTCCCTGGCTTATCAGCAGGGCTCTAGGCTGCTGATGCTGTGGCCCTTGAAGCCCCACTGTGGCTAGCATAGGACGCCAAGTTACAGAAATCTTTAAGGAGCAAGAGAACTGGCCACACATATATCTACAAATTATATCCATGCTACTGTATGTAAAGGAACAAGAATAAATCACATTTATTTCTACATTAACAAGTTACCTTTAGCGTTTGTGTAATCACTAGACATGGTGCTGGGTGTGATTTCCTATGTAATCCTGGCACCATGTCAGGGAGGCAGGTACTGTTACCCCAATTTATAAGAAGAACATTGAGGCTCAGAGAAACTGCCAACATTGCTTATGGCCAATGCTGGTAAGAAGAGCTAGAATTCAAACCCAAGTCAGGTCTGTCTGACTCCAAAGTCTGTGTCCTTTAAAAGTGTTATGAGGACCAGCAGGGGGCATGGTGGCTAAGGAGCTGCACTCCCATGTGACTGACCTTGGTCTGAGTCTCAGACCCAGTGGCTTGAAAATTATGCCAGGGGCATGTGCATGCATACTCAAAATTCTAAGAGTGTGAAGAAGGAATGTGGTAGGGCCATCTCCCCTGCAGGGTGATTTTCTCACTTTCCCTCTCACTGTCTCCCCTTGTCTCTCTCTGGTGAGTTCATGCACCCTATGGCAAAAACCTTTCAAAAAAAAAAAAGGAGTGTTATGTAGTAAACAGAACAGAAAGATTCCAGAATGCCTGGGAGCTATCGTCGTCCTAACTATATGTGCTACATATTGTGATAATAACTTCCATATATCACATGTTTACCAGTACCAGGCAATGGGTCAAAAGCTGTGCATGCATTATCTCTACTGCTCAGTGAGATACACAGCTAACAGTCCCATTTTGCAGATAAGAAAAGAGGCTCAGACGATTTAAATGAACAGCGCAATAAGGAATGAACCCGGGATTCAAACTCTAGTCTCCTTGACTCCAAAACATGTGCTTTTTAGATAGTATACTTATTTATTTCTTCTGAGTGAGGCAGAGAGAGATGGAAAGACAAGCACCCCAACAGAGTCCTTGCGACCTAATCTACTCCCGGTCTCAGCCAGCCTGGATCATGGGCATGTGTGTGTGTGCTTGGCATGCTCAGAGAGGTCCCAGAATATGAACCCAGGCTCTTTCCCACCTAGGTCAAGGTGTGTTACTACTGTGCCACCACCTGGCCCGATATTGCCTTTGATGATGTTACTTAAGTTCACTTTAAAGACACCACACATAAACACACACGTGCGGCTAGTGTCATACTTGCCTAACATATACTGGATTATTATAATCTAGAAAGCGATGTCTTTTACGATGTCATGGACTTTTTCATTGTCTGTCTAGTGCATTAAGGTCTTGTGAAAAAGGCTGTGAAAAAAATAGTGTCTCCAGGTGACAGAAGCATAGGAGAGAGGCAGCACTGATTAGAGAAGGCCATCTGCCATGAGAAGCCCTGTCTGGTTGTCCTTCTGGCCAGTCTTCATCCTTTTCTACCTGACTCTGACTAACAGGCTGGCTTCCATCTGGTACTGTGGAGCAGGTTAAGTGCTCAGGCTTCGGCATCAAGCAGACCTGGGTATCTGGCAATGCTACAATGGTGGAATGACCTTAGACAAGTTACTTAACCTTTTTCTTTTCTTTTCTTTTTAAAGTTGGCCACAGGGTATGTATGCATGCCAGAGAAAGAGAGAGAAAGAGAGAGAGAAAAAGAGAAATCATCCCCTGGGGGGATGGCCCCCCCACGATCCCTTCTCCTCCCTTCTCTCAGGATTTTGGACACACACCTACATGTGCCTGGTGTGATTTTCAAGCCACCAGGTCTAGGACTCAAACTGTGCAGTTGGCCATGTGGGATAGAGTTGCCTTAAATTCCATGCCACCTGCTGGCCCTGCTACTTAACCTTTTGAGTCTCTGTTTCCTTCCCTGTAAGGTAGGTTGCTATGATGCCTAATTTAATGGAGTTATGAGTTTTAAATAAAATAAGTTGTATGAAGCTTTAATCATACTGCCTGACATGCTCAGAACTTGGTAAATGAACATGAGTACCCCATGTTATACAACATGCAGCTTCCTGGGGTGCTGAGATAGGGTGGGAAGGTTCCTGGGAAGGTTTCATTGAGCAGCCATGAGGAATTGGGAGGGAGAAAGCAATCCTGGCATCTGGCATTGGGTTCAATCAGCAACGATGAGTCAGCTCCAGGTGCTGAGGGACTAGCTGTGTTCTCAGCACTGCTGGGCGTGTGCTGTGGTCACTTGGCCATGGTCCTTCTCAGTCACGCTGTCTGAGCGTCATTCTTGTAAATCTGGCCTGGGTTCTTTTCAGAAAAACAGCCTCTAAGATGTGATGTCATGGGCCAGCCTGGGCCAGGGAGAGACGTGGGAGGAGGTTGTGTGCATATACTCTGGGCACTTTTTTTTTTAGAGAGAGTTTTGCGGTAGGGTGCTTGCCCTTGCTGGAGAGATACAAAGAGACAGAGAGACAGAAAGTGAGAAATCACCTCCCCCAGGGGGATGGCCAAGCCACGATCCCTTCTCCTCCATTCTTCTCTCGAACTTTGGGCATGCACATGTGCCCAATGTGAGTTTGAAGCTGCTGGGTCCAGGACTTGAACTGTGGCTGGCCATGTGGGAGTTAACTACCATGCCACCTGCTGGTCCCAAGGCATAAACTTTAGCATCAAGCTATCCCGGGATCAAATTTTGCTCTGTCAATTACCAGCTCTGGGACCTTTAAACTCTGCTCCTGAAGAAGATAATTCTGATAGTCTGGTGATAAGGCTTAAAGGAGGCACGTAAAATGCTCAGCACATCTGTCAGAGAACACACTATGCAGCACATAGTAAGTGTTCAATAAGCAGTAGCTACTGTTAAGTCCTTGGCAGTTGATGAGTATGGCTTGATGGTTTTCTCCACTTGTTACCAGCCAAGGTATTCTCAAATAACCATTCTTCCCTCTGAGGGCTGGACAGGTTCCTTATACCAGGAGTGCCATCAGTTGAGACGAGAAGGCCGGAGAGAGATGGCGTAGTTGTGCCCCTATTCCTTTGCCTTCCCTCCCCCAGTCAGCTGGTTCCCTGGCTACAGTTCTTCTAGTTCTCCCTGCTGCTGCCCTCCCTCTGAAGAAGTCTCTCTCTTCCCTTTGGTTTGACAGAGTCAGCCATGCTAGCGCGGACTTCTGGCTCCCCTGACCCTGACTCTTCTGCGCATCATCTCTTGTGCTCTGCTCTTTATTTTGCAGACAGTTGAGGAGGAGGTCAACATTTGTTATCGTCTCTGTACCACAGAGACGTTGACTGCAGGATGCTCTGCTAGCGTCACTTTGTACGAGCACCCCTTCTCCAATGCTTTTTACTTGCTCATGTGCTGTTCTGGATTTGGGGGAGGTTGAAGGTTAGAAATGACATTTTGTCTAAGGGCCGAGTCATCTCTTTTCCCACTCTAGGCAGGATAGCCCTTGCTTTGTAACAAGAAGAGAACTTTACATGGTAGGATGAATCTATGTTGGGATGAGAAATCTCAGGATAATAGCTAGCCGAGCCAGAACCAGATGCCTCTCTTCCTCAACACGGGGTGGTGGGAGTAAGATGGGGGACAGAGAAATAGGGAGTGTTTAAGGACTTTAAAGAGTAGCCTCTACTGGAATAAGAAAGAAAGAAAAAAGAGTAAATACAATACTACAGTTAAGAGGAAAGAAGCGGGACCAGCAGATGGCGTAATGGCTGCGTGGCTGGACTCCCACGTAGTCGACTGCGATTCAAGTCCCCGACCCAGGGGCTTAAACTCCCGACGGGCCCCTGTGCGTCCCTGCCCAAGATCCCGAGAGGAGAATGGAGGAGAAGAGATTGCGGCATGGCCATCACCCCTGGGAGTGATTTCTCACTTTCTGTCTCTCTGTCTCTCTCTGTCTTTCTGGTGAGCGTATGTGCCCTATAGCAAAAACCTCTCAAAAAAAAAAAAAAAAAAAAAAGGCGTATGTACACATAGTATCATAGAAGGATATCTAAGACATATTAAGGTTTTAAAAGTCACTGAATAATAGGGATATTGACCAGCCTGATAGAGCAGCAGGTAAGCACTTCGCAGAGGTACTGGATCTCAGATGACCAGCCATGGTTCCAACCTCAGCTCTGATGGCTTGAAAACCATGCCAGGAAATGGTTTTATTTATTTATTTTGCTTAGAAAGGGAAAGTAAAGGATCTCAGGAGTGGAAAACTGGGGAACCCATTTCTGTTTCTAATGAAGCCCCTCCTAGTTTCATTGTTATAGATCATGGATTTGTCTCCTATGGTTACTTGGAAAAGAAAGGTGAGGTCTCCAATCCCCACTCAGCCAAAAGAACCCCCAAAGCAAACCTTCGGGTTACCATGATGCTCTCAGGGGTCATTAGAAACATCCAAACATCCAACTGGTTTGAAAAAGTGGAAAGAGGAAAATCAAGAGGAGGAGAAAATTCTCAGATGTTCTTGCCTCCCAAGCAAAGAAATGACTGTAGTAAGCTCTCCATGAGAGATCTCTACATCGCAATGCAAACTGAACCCCAACCCTAGGGTGAAAATAAGTTACCTGTATTTTCTGACTATAAGCTGTTTCACATATGAAAATGTTGAGCTTCAGAAATGTGAAGTGACCTGCCCAAGGCACACAGCAAGACAAAGGCAGAATCTACCTGCAGAATCCTAAACTATTCTTTTTTTTTAAAAAAAATCTTGGGGCCAGCAATTAGCGTATTACGCTATGTCGCTGGACTCCCACATAGTCAACCGTGGTTTGTGTCCCGGACCCGGTGGCTTAAAACTCACGCCGGGTGCGTGTACGTGTGTGCCCAAGATCCCGAGAGGAGAATGGAGGAGAAGGGAGGTGATTTCTCGCTTTGTCTCTCTATCTCTCTCTGTCTATTTGGCGAGCGCAAGCACTCTATAGTGAAAACCTCTCAAAAAAAAAAACCTTTCTTTTTTAAAGAGGTTTTTGCCTTAGGGCACATGTGCTTGGGAGAGGGGGAAGAAAGGGAGACAGACACAGTGAGAGGGACAGTGAGAAATCACCCCCCCAGAGTGGATGGCCACACCACAATCCCTTCTCCTCCATTCTCCTCTTAGAATCTTGGGCATGCGTGTGCATCCACACATGTGCCCAGTGTGATTTTCAAGCCACCAGGTCTGGAACTTGAACGGCAGTCGGCTATGTGGGAGTCCAGCAACCAGTAACAAAACCACTATGCAATCACTTGCCCCCCATTCTATTTTTAAAATCTATTATACTATGCTACCCTGTTTTAAATCCGACATTTACTCTTGTCAACTTTATCCTTGGCCTGGACCCCAGCCCTAGCCCACCATGGACTCATGTGCTTCTGGCCCAGCCCATTGGAAATGGCTTGTTTTGCCTCTCTTACCTCCCTCCACCCATCTTATCACCCAGAAACCTCCCTCTTGACCATACTTCTTTTATGAAAAATTTGTCAGAGAGGATGCGTGCTTGCTGGAGAGAGAGCGTACGTGAGAAAGCACTCCCCATGGGGCATGACCATGCTGCAATCCTCTTTCCTCCATCCTCTTTCTTTTTTTTTTTTTTTTTTTTTTTTTTTTGAGAGATTTTTCACTGTAGGGCGCATGCGCTCGCCAGACAGACAGAGAGAGACATAGAGACAGAAAGCGAGAAATCACCCCCCGGGGGGATGGTCACGCTGCAATCCCTTCTCCTCCATTCTCCTCTCGGGATCTTGGGCACGCACGCACATGCACCCGGCGTGAGTTTTAAGCCACCGGGTCCAGGACACAAACCGTGGTCGACTACGTGGGAGTCCAGCGACATAGCCATTACGCTAACTGCTGGTTCCCCATCCTCTTTCTTTTTGAGATTTTGGATGTGCACATACACTCACCTGGCATGTCTCTCTCTATCTCTCTCTTTTTTTGAGAGAGATTTTTGCTATAGGGCGTGTGCACTCACTAGAGAGACAGAGACAGAAAGTGAGAAATCACCCCCCCACCCGGGGAGGATGGCCATGCCACAGTCCCTTCTCCTCCATTCTCCTCTAGGGATCTTGGGCACGCACATGCACCTGGTTCTGAGTTTAAGTCACCGAGTCCGGAACTCGAACTGTGATCGACTGCATGGGAGTTCAGCGACATAGCCATTATGCTAACTGCTGGCCTTCAGGAATGATCCTTACCAGGAGGGTCTGGGGACTCATGTCAAGTGGCCACCTCCCCTCTCCCACTGGAAGCCTTGCTAAAGCAGCCTCTTGACCCTAGTGATGGAGGAGGATCATGTGGCCATGATTCAAGAGCCTGAGATCCCAGGATGAAGATTTTAAGAGAGATCATGAACAAGAATTTGCAGTGGGCAGCAATCAGTAAACTGGGACAACAACAACAGCAGCAGCGGAGTCGAAGGGTCAGTGTCTGGGAGTAATTAGGAAAGTTTGGTGCTGACAGCTGTGTGTCTGCGAGTTGAACGTCATGGCCAAATCGACTCCTGGGCTCCTTGGCGGCTTCAGGGTAATGAAGCTCCGGCCCAGACACAGAGGCAGCTGTGGTACCACAGAAGTCGGTGTCTCTGAGGTCCAGGCTCAGCCTCGCTGCTTCCCAGCGGTGTGACCTTAGGCAAGTCATTTAGGAAAGGACACTGCATTTGCTGAGTGAGTATAAGACCTCTTCACATATAAGAGAATTTCCGAAGGTTCATGGAAAAATTAAAGTATGAGTTTATTTCAGTACAAAAATCCTTTCACGATCCATATTTCCATAATAAGCAGTTTCTATGAACTTCTTGAAGATCCTTCCTATGTCCTCATCAGTTTCAAAACTGTCCCTCTTCTACGTGAGAAGCCGCGGGGCTGTTAAGGTGAGTGGGTCCGGGGAGGCTGTACAGCTGAGATGTGGGAAGAGGGAATTAGGGCTCAGAGCTTTTGGAGTCCAGACCTGGCTCTTCCCTGAAGTTTAGTTTCTCTCTCTGTGAGATGGCGACAGTAACATTCCTACCGCATCCATGAAGTCACACAGGGCAGTCCTACACCGTCTCTCCTTTCTCACAGCCTTGGTCCTGAAGTTGTGGCCACCTTCTTCTTAGGAATATATGGTTCTTACTTTGTAACTGCACTCCCTAGCCCCCACCCCCCATCAAATTAGTGGGTCTAGGCCCCAGGTGGTGCCCCGAAGGGAGGGTATTTAAACCTTGGTTTCCCCTCCTCTCCTTCCCCCACTCCCGGGTTTTGCGTTTTGGCAGGCAGGCGGACATCAACGTGCTCCCAGGGAAAAGGAACTCCGAGCTGCAGGGCGCAGCTCCAGGCGCCCCTTCCCCCACCGCCCAGGACGTCCCCAACCCGCTGCCTTAGATACTGAGGAGTTGAGAGGCCATTGGAGCTCCCAGCCCCCTCCCTCTTCTCCGGGTCCGGGAGAGCAGCTTGCCACCCACCTCCTGTCCCGAAACAGAGGGGGGCGACTAGAGTCTGGGGAGCGGATCTGGAAGACCCGGGAGAGTCCTGGGCGCCACGCAGCCGAGCCCAGGAAACATATCCCGGTCCTGGGGTTACGAGGGGAGCTGTCCAGCCCCGCAGGGTGCGCTAGGACAGAGGGTGGGCCAACGCCGGTGAGGCGGAGGGAGCCGCGGGCGCC